CCTTCTGGGCCTCCTGAGCATCTCCTGTGTCTGTCTCTGTGGTCTGTTTGTGTCTCTTCAGCTGTCCTGTGTCTATGTGTGATAGTTCTGGTCCGCTAGGTCTCGGTCTGGTCATGGTGCTTCTCCTACAGTCCCTCAGCAGCTCAGTGTCTCTGGTCTTTGTCTCGAGCCTCCTTCGTGCTCGCTGGAAGCTCCTCCACAGCGTCCACCCTCTGAGCTCCGTGTTAACCTACAAACCATCTGCAGGTTCTCACACCAAACACATTCCACTAATTAATGTCTGAGAGGAACCGGATCTGACAGCAGCAGCACCTTCCTGGGTCCGGTGTGGCTCAGCTCCATCACCGACAGCGTGTAGTTGGTCCGGTGGCCTCGCTCGTCGAACTGGACGCGACCCGTCACGCCGTCCAGACGGACCTGCAGACAAACGGAGGCTGGTCAGGGCAGGACCAGTCCAGTAACGGTCTGATGGAGACATTTCATTCTGTTCTACTGAATTCAGATTTAGTCTTCAGTCCTAATTTGGTCAAAGGCTCAGGAGGAAGCGTCCTCCTCACAGGCTCCAACAGATTCAGGTGTTTATGTAAAGTCTGGACCCGGCAGCTTCTACAGCAGCTCCTAGTGGGTCCATTTGTTTGTTCCGTGTAGAGCTGCAAAACTCAATCAGTTCATCTGTCTAAAGTTAGACTTCTTCAAATCCTCGTCTCCATCATTCAGCCTTATTTTATGAAGTGTTCCTCACAGTCACCCTCCTGTGTCTACAGCCACCTGCAAATCATGACAGACTGCATTTAACATAAGCGTGTTCTGGTTCTGGACCTGCTGCAGGGCTCTCTGGATGTCGATGCCTTGCCCCCACGGAGCCGGCGGATTGGCCAGACACTCGCCGGCGTTACCGCGGCGAGAGATGTCGATCCGCTGCCGCCGCAGGTTCTGGAAGGCTGTCGCCATGACGCTGACGCCGTCGTAGGTCAGAGCTCCGGTGTACTGTTGGACAGAACCAGAAGGTCCAGTTAGAAAGATTGACGCTGTTTAAAATGCTGCTGGCGCTGAACCAGCAGTTTATCGAAGCACTGAAGCCTCGATCACAGGAACGTCTGCACGGGTTCAACGTGTCACAGCAGGCAGCAGCAACAACAACAACAACAACAACAACAACAACAACAACAACAACAACAACAACAACAACAACAACAACAACAACAACAACAACAACAGTCAGTGTATGTCGGTGTCTGTGTGTGTGTGTGTGTGTGTGTGTCAGCGTGCACCTTGAGCTTCCTCCGGGCCAACTTCAGGTCCTTGCTGTCGAAGTCCAGCCAGTCCTGGTTGACCTTCTCCACCAGCGGGTCGGACCGGTTCATCAGCTGGAAGCCCGTCACGTTGGGACCCAGCTTCTGGAACTCGGTGACGTTCAGGTCCAAGAAACCCTGAAACACAAAAACACCCGTCAGAGCTCTGGGTGGTCGGTTCCAGGAAGT